AGTAGCCCAGAATGGACAAACAGCCTCTAGAATAGGGCCTTTCAAGTCCACCGTACTTCTACACACTTTGAAGGGAGTGGTATTCTTTAATCCTTAAGAAAGCTTGAGTAGGCATGCTTGTCAATCAGGAAAACAAATTATGGATGTGGTAATAAAGGTAAATCAAATGATGTTATCACAAGCTCAATATGTTTGTTAAAATTGAATCACAGAAACAGAACGCTAGTCAATTTTATTTTCTTTGCAGCTTTGAAGCCAATTGCAGGTGAATTCAAGTATGGCTTGTCTAGTGTGTAGGTGAAACTACGGTAGTTGCAGGCTACTGTAGAAACATAGTGGGTTTAACTTGGCGGACTCCATAGAAGAGGACTCCATCCTAGATATAAAAAGTTTATTCTAAGGGAACAAAAACACACGACCATATTTTTCAGGTGATTATACATTAATGAAAAACATACCTATGAATATTATATTCCATTTCTGACAATAGATCCTCATCAGCAGCCTAACGGTATAGTCTCAGGGCGCACACACTCACATGCTGCACCGCTTAGGAGAGCTATGCTAAAACCAGAACAGGCAACACTCATAATACACCCAAGCATTCAGTTATCCACCAATCTCACTCCCTCTCTCCCAGCCACACACACACACACTCCCACCAGTAAATAGCATCTGTGCCTGCTGTGTCTGATGGGATCGTAAAGAGAGGAGTCAGTAGCGCAGGAAGAAAGGGGAGTGTGAAGAGAAGCAGCAACCGAGGCAATTTACCCCACAGATTAGAGATAAGAGAGTTCAGTCAATAAGCACTGATCTCATTTGAAGATATACCACAGTGACTAGACTCTCTCACACACACACACACACACACATTCACACTAGTTGGTCTATTGCTGTCACCGTTGTGTCTGTCTGCACACTGTCTTTTCTAGAGCCCTTGCTGTTTCCAACAAGGATATGGCCATTCTTACAGTAAATATGGATTGGACAAATTTCCCACTCCCTGTCTAACCACACGTCTTCTTTTTTTTTCTTTGCACAGACAAAATGTGGCCTTAATCTAACATGTCCGCAGCCTCTTAAGACAAGACCCTTCACTCTTAAACTTTCCCCCTCTTAGTTTCCCCTCAGTGTTTAGTCAGGCCACGGAACATTACAGACCTTGTTTGCCACAATCATTCCTGTATTGTATTTAGTATTAAATAGCATTAAAGTGTATTTTTCTTACTGTCAACAAATCTCATCAGAAGACAAAAACCAACAATGGCTGATCCTAATAACATGCCTGATATATCTTCTTCCTCTAGCGCTCCGTTGTTCAAAACCTCAATGAACAACACTGTTGCACTGGAATAATTTAAGTGATTACTAAAGCAATATAAATGACATGATAAGGGCCTTAAAAGGACCAGTGTGTAGGATTTAGTGGCATTTAGCACAACTTTGTCACTTCACCCTCCTATGGTGGCCGTGAAACATGCAAAAAACACGAACAACCCTATCCATAGCCAGTGTTCAGTTTGTCTCTTCTGGGCTAGTAAAGATTATACACTATTGAAAACATACCTATGAATATTATATTCTGTTTCTACTGATACACACTGGACCTTTGAGGTCTGCAAGGAATGGGGAGTTAGTAGGAGCCTAACAAC